GTTCATGGGTTGATTCAGGCATTTGATACGGTGGGTTTGTCTCGGCCGGGTATGTATCATCTTCCTCATCGGCCGATATTTCATCTCGCAATTTCTTCTCTGTTTCTTGGGCATACTTGTAGGCCGTCTTTTTCATTCTTCTCAGCATCACATCATGTACAATTCCTAAGTACGCGGTCCTAAACTTACTGGTTAGGGGTTTGTGGGCTGCTAAGGTGGGGTATGAGGGCATCATCAAAATGTTGGCCCACTCTCCCAAAGTAGCTTTAACAGTCAGTTCCACTGTTTCTTCTGACCTGTCTGCCCATACTGGTGGAATGTCATAGTGATTTTGGCCAGCTTCAGGGATGTAAGTTCGACGCCCATCACTCGCCTGCACCGGGCCCCAACTCAAGTCCCTGGCTAACCTTTCTGATACTCTATGTACGTCCAGTATTTCTACTCCCTTCTTTTGTCCTTTTCTTTGTCCTATTCTTAATGGCTTAACTGGACCGTCGTATTGGCCTGCTATTGATCCTAGACTGGCACTACCTTCGTCATCGGTTTCTTCCTGACTCGGGTCTTCGTTTGGTTCTCCCTGAGAGCTCTCGTCGTCATCCTCCTCACTCTCTATGTTTAAGGGTTGTATTTTTGTCACTGTCTCTCTCTTTGGCTGTCCTTATCGTGAGTCTGCTCCGCTTCTGCGTCGTCTTGTGGTTGTACTTATCAGGTCATTTTCTGAGGGTGAGGTCAGGGACATTTTCGACCCCTGAGGACTGATCCCTAATGGGTCTTCACTTTTCTTGGCTCCCGGTGATGATCCCGGTGTCGATGATTTTCCTGTGTCTTCTTTCCCTAACTTTAGGGGTTCTCTAATTGGTCTTTCTTCTTGTTTTGTCACTGCAGCCACAACCCTGGATTTCCGATCTTCATCTAGATGAGTGGGGGTCACTATTATCATTTCTTTTAAGTGGGCTCCCGCTGGCATGTCTTTGGCCAGATACGTCATTGAATTGACCGCTATTCTCTCAGCCGTTTCCCACTGCAAATGATGGGACCGGAGCCCATCTATTCCTATCACTATGCGCCTGAAGCCGAACTCTATGGCTCGGAACACTCCTTTCTGCAGAGCTTCTAACATTTCCTTGAGATACCTGGTCTCATCGGTTGCTTCTTTATAGCTTCGAATTGGGATGTGTATTATCGCATAGTACGGAGCATCAGCTCCACTGGTCATTCTTGTTTTTGGCTCTTCGCTATGTGGTCCACTGGTGAGTTGTTTTATTTCAACTTGGTACTCCCTACCGGCTACTTTCTTTAAAGCTTTTCTGTAGGTTGAGTTATGGATTTTGTACTTATGATTTGTAAACACCAGTAACGCATCTGCCTCTATAGACCATGGTGTCCCTATCACTTGGTATACTCGGGTACCATTTTGAAACTTCACACATTGAGTCTCTTTCGGGAGTGGTTCTAGAGCCTGTTTGAGCCCTGCTGTTTGCCTAATTTTTTGTTTCTTTTGTGAATTTTCTTTTTCCCCTTCCTCTTGACTGTAATCTGACTCAGGTTCTGGTTTTAAGTGTTTTTCTTTGGCCTTCTTTTTCCCATAAGTTTTTGGGGTTTCTCCTGAGGGGTTCTGTTTAGGATTCTCTTGTTTAATCGGCTGGTTTTTTAGTGGTTCTGTCTGTCTCTGATCTCGCATTCCTCGTAACCCCCTTTCTGCCCACCCGGTGTCAGTGGTTTCGAGCCTCCCCATCCTGTCCACTATGCTTTGGGCGAGCAGGTCTAAGTTCTTGTCAACCTGTTTAAGATAGTCTTTACACCCTGTGCTCTCATTACTTTCTTCAGGTTCGTTTTCTTTTTTGATCATACTTGCTAATAATCTCAGTTGCTCTGCTCTGGTTTCCTCGTCTGTATCAGAATGGTATTTGGGAGTTTCTCTGTACGCACTCAGGTTTGGAGTGGAGCTCACGAACGTGGGGGGGTGATGAGAGGCTGGAGGGTAAACTCCCTGCCTTAGCCTCGTGCCTCCTGGGTTTTCTCCTTCCCTTTTAATATTGAGGGGGGGTATATTCTGTAAACCCTCGTCCTCTGGTTCGCTTTGGTCTTCTTCATTTTCCGACGCTTCGGGGGTTTGTGCAATGGAGCTGTGCTCACTTTCAGGATCCATCTCTGATTTTTTCTCTTTTCTATACTCCCTCATTCTTGCCAATTCTTCTTGACATTCTTTATATTTTGCTGTTGCCCTACATAGAGGGTTTGTAATGTACCCGTCTAACCCTGTCACTTTGGATATCATCTTTACTATAGGGTCATACTCGTTTGAGGGGCTAATTACTGACACTATTGTCGTTTGTTTTTGTGTCTCTATCTGTTGTACCCACCATTGTAACCATGTTTTTACTTCTTTTTTTGATTTTGCTTCGCCTGGGTCTTTTACCACCACTGTTTGGACTCCCTTCCGGGCTTTCGTACAGCAAAACCTTCCTTTTTCTCTTATAAATTTTTCCAGTCCGTCCTCCAGAACTTTTCCATCTAGCTGGGGATTACTTTCTCTTAGTATTTTCTTCACTGCTGGATTCCAGGTATGATACCCTTTTCCATATAGGATGACTTCCGCCTTGGTTATTCCTACTGGTTTTTCTCCTGTACTTTGTACCATTATCTTTTGGCCATCTGTCTTTCCTTCTACTGGCTTCTGTTCTTCTTGGCTCTCCTGAGCCGGCTCGGGTCTGTCTGGCTCTACACTCGTAGATGCCCCTCCTGAGGCCATCGTTATGTCTTTTCTTGTCGGGTCAAGTTTGTCGGTCCTCAAAGTCTCCAGACTTTATCCTAACGTTTTGGACTAGGACAGACTAGCTGCTTACCTACGATTCTGGATTATGGTCAGTAACCCTCGTAAGCCTTCTACCCCTCCTCGCTAGCCTCTAGTGATCTATTGGGGGTACTAACTGGGGGGTCTCCCAGTCACTGACAGCTCCTTACTCTCTAGAGCTGCTCTATCGACGCCTATCAGTCCTTTGTAGCGCGTCTTCACTTCTGGGACTGCTCTTGTCCCATCTGGGGTGCCATGTCTGCTTTCCGATAGGCAAAGGTAACCACTGGAGGTAGCGATAACACCTTTGCCTGCAGCCTCTCCTCCAAGGGGTCCGGAGGATTACTTCAGCGCCGTGGTTTTACCTATAGCTATCTAAAGTAGCCTCATTAAGGCTGCGGCGAGGTGATTCATCCAGAATATTAACGACCTTAAATCCGTGAGTCACACCCTAATTTCACTCTGTTACCTCGACCCTCCAAGCAGCTGGGAATGATCTTCTGGTCCAGAGAAACTCGCGTTGTGGCCGCTCACCTCTCACATTAGCGTTGCAATTGTTAACTGTTCTGGTAATCTTTAGGGCCCTGGAAACGGGCTCAAGGATGTTGTTTATCAGCTAGGAAACCTTTACAAAAACCTCCTGTTATTGGTGTTGTTAAATGAACCAAGCATTTCCATGTTTTGCTCATTAAGGGTGAAATAACAGTCCAGATTTATACGTTTTGCTTTGCTTTTAATCAATAGTTTGCGCAGGGGTACAGCAACAGGTACAATTTTATAATGATTAATTTTTCATGAGTACATAGGATACACTTTCTTCCCTAAACAAGGCGATGACTACTATCTGGAAATTCTAAACCTCAAGAGCCCTTGAGGGTTTACAGATACTGCCTTCACATAAACCTTTCACAACTCAAGCCAAAAAATGTTCTCTCTCAGCTCCCTCATGAACCAGAAACACCTTCGAGCAAACCTCACTAGTAACCAATTTAGTACTCCCAAATTTATTCTGTATGCTGTTCTTCCAATTTGACGAAACAATTTAATTAGAGCAGAGTAAGAATGAGGTCGTCCGCTTACCATGATTTTGGAATGCCCCTTAGTGAGACACTCGTGGGGGTAAGGGCAAATTTCCTGTTCTCTAGGGGAGAGACACAGGCCGGCCTCTGAGGCAAGTGCAACTATTTCCAAATTAGAAGATCAGAGTTTGGACGGGCCCAGGTCATGCAATTTTAGAAGTAGGAAACTCATCCAGTTCGAGTGTTGAAAGAAAGCTTACATCCAATCCCATGTCAGTGAAGAAAAGAGTTAACTTCCATCATCATCTCAAAACTGGTAAAATCCAATCTTCTTTTTGGGCTCCTTCTGATCCTGATGAGCTGCCCCTCGCCTGTAATTCTCTCTGCTCAACTCCTTAGTTCAGCTCCGACTCTGCATGGACCCAGCTCATTCTGTCCAATCTGTATTTAAAGACTTATTCATCCCTCCTCCTTTTAAGGAGGGGTTATGGAAAATTACATCATCTTTTTTCCAGTAACTTCTCTGCTGTTTTGCACCTCAACCGGTTCAGACCGGTTTTCTCGGTACTTTCCAGAACTTGTTTTGCTCAAAGATGAGTCATCATGAGATGAGTTGTGTTTGAACCCTCTGACTCTTGTTCTCTTCTACTGCTCGAGGCATGTCCAGACTTGTTCTTAGGTGGGCATGCTCAGACATGTCTCTCTGTTACATGAGGCCTCTTCAACTTTACCATTTCACAAGCAAAAGTGAATCACACAATCTTACATGAGATTATACAATGTTTTAAAGATTAACACTTCCATTAATTGATTATGTGTTGATTATTAGTAAAACCGTAAAACAGTTTAGTTACACGTTATCAAAACAGTAAAATTCTTTGGTTACATTATCATTTTCAGCTTGATTTAAAGCAGGAGTTCAGTCCTTCTGCTGCTGAGGAGAACTTTTGATCAGGCTTCATTTTTCTTAAAGCTGGTGGTCTGTTTGCATTATCATCACAGACACCTGGTTTATTGACAATGTATACATATATTTATAATAGTTACATTATTATTGTTATTACTCAGTCAAGTCAACGCTCCCACAACACTAAAACTCTAAAAATTAAGCATTGGAAATGTGGTTCTGTGGAATGGTTATGAACACTTAATATTTTACCTGTTGTGGATTGCTTCTCTACATTTAGGTGGTGCGTGGTGCCTGGTGCATGACACATCATGGATGTTGTGAAAGAAAGTAACAAGAACAGTCTGACCTCAGGGAAAATGGTTGCTCTGGCTGCAGGGCTCTCAGTTGGTGCCACTGTAGGCTACATGTTGTATCGTCACATAAACAACACCAGCAAAAGTGAGTCTTTGACTTTTGGCTATTTTTGGTAGAAAAATAAATGTGATTAATTGATTTAACTTTTTTTTTTAATTCTTTGGATGATGTATGATTTCTTATGACTGACAGATCAGGGCTCAGACACCAAAGAATCCAAAATGACTCTTCCTATAGAAATTTATAGGAACATATGCAGATGCCAAGCTACATTTTTGGATATGGTAAGCAGCTCACACTTTGTTTATTTTGGGCAGGGATTCTGCATAAAAATAATGTTACATATTAGACTAACAGTATTTTGTTAACAGGGCTGACTCTAATAGTTACTGACACGTTTTTAATACAGACCCCATACAGTCAGTTTGTGTTCAGAGCATAAGTTGGTGATGAATTTGATACTGAATTTGATATTTGATGTTACTGCCATTTATGGGTTTTCAAAAAATGTCTCTTGCAAACCCAGCTGGTGAGTCTGGGTGACTCAAAGCTGTAAATCGTTTATTAAAACTTGTTCTTGTTTTCGATTGGGCAACAATAAAGAAGAACAATGTGAGAAATGGTGATCAAGCTGCTTGGTGTACTTCTCCATGTTTACCTTTATTTCAGGTGAGCCAGAAGTCTGGAGCTCGTGTGAGAGTTCTGTCAGAATCGGGGGAGCCTGGATCAAAAGCAAACATTTGCTTCCAGCTTCACGGCTCCGAAGAACAGATCGTGCTCGCCCGTTGTGTCCTGGAGAACCTGGTCATAGACTGTGAGCCTGTGTCTGAAGTTTTGAAGGTTCCTCAGACCTCCTTTGGGCGCATCATAGGTATAATTTTTTGAAGATCTTTGCTACTTTCTTTATGATGCTTTCTTTTTCTACTAAAGATGTAGAGACAAATTAGTTTTCTAGTGATCTGATTAGTGAGTAGTTTGGCTGCTGGCTTGTTTTAGTTAGATGTTTAAAGTTTAGTTTATTTGGAGCAGGTTAGTCTTAAGTTGATATGAAACCGTTGGTTACGTACTGTAACCCCAGATTCTATTAGTATAGGCGTAGCCCTTTAAGACTGTCGCTGATGGGTTTATCCTGATATGCGAAGCATTGCACTGAAAAGTTTAGTCCACGCCCACCTGTTGTGTGGGCCCCACCCGGTCCGTATAAATTACGTTAAGAGCGGGTAATCGGATCCCAAATAGCTTTTTCTTCAGCCATTTAGGAGCCAGTGAGGCCCGACGCTTAAAGGGCTACGCCTATACTCATAGAATCTGGGGTTACAGTATGTAACCAATGTTCTATTTCGTATAGGCTTCGCCCTTTAAGGCTGTCGCTGATGGGTTAAGGGTGAAGCAGATGTTGTCCTCGCCTCACTGGGTCCATTCGAACACCGTATGAAGCAGAAGCTTGCCCAAAAAATGTCTTGTCACTCAGCTCCCCATGTGCGTAATTACGCATTGCGTAATTATGTGTGCCATGCACAGACGCATGTTGTGTAACTATGCGTTCTGAATGCATGAACGCCCCGGAAAACTTCACCGGGGAAAGAAAAAAGCTGAAAAGAGCCATGAACCAACTGGTTTACGGCTGAACAGTATGAACAGATTAATAATAACAGGAGAGCTGATTATTAATCAAATGAACTGATTGGTAACAATTGTCGTGAACTGATTAGTGACAATAGAACCAAAATAACAATCACAACTTGTGATTGATAACAACATCTCATACTGTAATGCATGCAGACAGATGTGAGTAAAACGGAGTTCCATGAAACAACAATATTCATTCTGTAACACTAAGGACAGAATGTGTCATGGGACGAGCCGTCACATCATGTAGATAAAAGCGAATGAATGAGCAGGGTGTTGACCACGCGGCCGCAGTGCAAATGTCCTGCATTGTCATACCATTATGCAAGGCAGTCAAAGATGCGATACCCCTGGTCAAGTGCGCTCTGAGGTTGACAGGTGGCTGTAAATCTGATGCTCTGTAGGCTTCAGAAATGGCCTCACACAGCCAGTGTGACAAGCGCTGGGTGGATAACGGGCGACCTGCAGATGTATCTCTATAATGCACAAACAAATGTTGAGTTTGGCGCATTACAGCTGTGCACGCTATGTAACACGTCACCGCCCGCACCGGACAGAGAATATGGAAAGATGCTTCTTCTTCTGATCTGTGGGGGGGAGGGAAAAACCCCTCCAACGATATCGCTCTTGATTTAAAAGAGCTTGTGATGTTTTAGGCATAATAGCTGGATTTGGTCTTAAATCAGCTGAGCTGCCGTCAGCCTGAATTCTGAGACATGACAGAGCGACAGAGAGGGCAGATAAATCACTCACTCTCTTAGCGGATGTTAAAACCAGCAGCAGGGCTGTTTTAAGAGACAAGAATTTAAGTGGAACCTGATCCAGAGGCTCAAATGGAGCTTTGATCAGGACCTGCAGGACCAGCGTTAAATCCCACTGTGGAACAAGTGGGCGTGAAACAGGCCTGCGTCTCTGTACACCTTTTAGAAAACGCTTCATCAATGGATGATTAAAACTGTTCTGTCTCCGAACCCTTCGTGGCAGGAAGAGATGGCTGTAGCGTACGTTTTAATCGTGCTGGACGCCAAATTTCTGTCCATCAGCTGTTGTAGAAAGGACAGTATGCCACCTAGTGGACATGAGGTGGCCTCTACACCCTTCTCTGTACACCAGCGCTAAAAAGCTGTCCGCTTTGATGTGCACAGCGCTGTGGTGGATGCAACACGTGAAACCTGAATTGTGCGCACTACATCCTGTGGGAGACCCATCCTCTCTAAGCTGATCCATTCAGTGGCCAGACCACAGGTGCTGGCCTATTTCTGGGTAACTTCCGATCGCTCCTCCTGCCTGGAGGAGAGCGTCCTCCCTCCACGGCAGTTTCCACGGGCGCCCCGACAGCAGGCGTTGCAGGACTGGGAACCATGGTGCGTTCACGCGTTCGGGGGCCACCAGGAGAGCTGTCAGTCCCTCCTCCTGAACTCGGTTCAGGAACCGTAAAATCAGAGGAGGTGGAGTAAAACACGTACGCATTTTGGGCCATGGGCTGTGGGCAAACGCATCCACCCCCAGCGGTGGTTCGTCTCGCAGGCTCAGAGAAAACCATAATTGACACTGAGCGTTTTCTCGTGTCGCAAATAGGCCCACAGCTGCTATTTCAATCTGAGTCAAAATGCTCCATCAGAGGATGATTAAAGGTTGCTCTGTCTTCGACAACTTTGAGACAAGAATAAAACATGGCTGTAGCATACGATAATCGTGCTGAACACTAGATTTCTGTCCATCGACTGCTGCAGAAAAGGAGAGCATGTCGTCCAGTGGACATGAAGTGGCCTCTACGCCTTCTCTGTACACCTTTTACAAAACGTTTCATCATCGGATGATTAAAACTGTTCTGTCTCGAAAATTTCGTGACAGGAAGAGATAGCCGCAGTGAACGTTTTACTCGAGCTGAACGCCAGATCTCTGTCCATCAGCTGCTGCAGAAAGGAAGGCACACCACCTAGTGAACATGAAATGGCCTCTACACCTTTCTATGTACAGCAGCGCTGAAAAACTGACCACTTGATGTGAACAGCGCTGTGGTGGTTGCAGCACGTGAATCCTGAATCATACGCACTACATCTTGAGAGAGATCCATCCTCTCAAAAGGATCAGCACAACGGCCAGACCACAGGTGCTGGCCTATTCTGATTAACTCCTGATCGCTCCTCCCGCCTGGAGGAGAGCAACCTCCCTCCACGACAGGTTCCACGAGCGCCCCGATAACAAGTGTCGTAGGACTGGGAACCATGATGCGTTCATGCACTTGGGACAGAGGAGCTGTCAGTCCCTCCTCCTGAGCTCGGTTCAGAAAACCGTGATATCAGAGGGAGTGAGGGAGGTGAAAAAGCATTACGACCACAGGCTGCAAGCAAACACGTCCACCCCTAGCGGTGGATCGTCCCGTGGCTCCATGATAATTATAGTTGACATCAAGCATTCTCTCGTGTTGCAACAGGTCCACAGCCGCTCGCAGGATTTCTGCTACGTCTGAGCCATAGCTCTAGATGGAAGGTCCCGGTCCCCGTGCCGCAAAGGACCGTCTTTGGACATCACATCCGTCCTCTGTTCAGAACACAGGAGATGTACCCTACTCCAATGGAGAGCAGATTGGGTGTGCCCCACACAGCATCTGTCTCACAATGTGGCACATGAGTTGAGCGCATACATCTCCTGCCAGTTATGTATGCAACAATTCACTTGCTGTCTGTGTAAATCAAAAACTCTGATGATTCCGCAGCACAGAGGCAAAGTGTTGAATCACATTCAAAAACCCTGTGCGACACTCCAAAAACATTTAAATGAGCTGCTGTGTGGAGAGCCACAGCGCCCCCACAGCTCGTTAAATGTGTGTGCCTCTGTGAAGTCTGACATGTGTGACGTAGGTCTGCTGACGGAAAAACAGCTGATATCACTCAACCGGTTCACGTGAGTTGCACTGCTGCCACCTGTCTGTACAAACTGCTCAGCAGCAACAGATGTCCAGATAAGGCAGAATTCTCCTCCCTGATCTGTGCGGCGGCTGCAGAGCGGCTCGGGCGCATTAATGGAGTGTTGTTTCTCACAGTTCAAAATTGACAAATCTAGAATAAATCTCATCTTTCTGGTTCGTTGGGACCAGGGCGTGACGAGAGAGGAACCCTGTGTTTTCCTCTCCTTCTGAAACTCTGGAAATGACATTTTAATCAGAATTTCCTGAGCTTCTGCGAGAGGGGACGAGATCTGTTCTAAAAATGACAGAAAACTTCACTAGAGTACCTCCGCACCGGGGTTTGAGCTGTACTGCAGCGTGAACCCCCTGATGAAAACGGTTCGCCTATCCGTCTGGAGCGCGCGTTTGACGCTGGTGCGGTCTAGAAGCAGCACGCGGCATCGGTGGGGTGAGGTTACCACTGGGCTCGTTCTGCAGAACATGTTCATTCTTGGTTGCAAATCACGTGAGCTTTTGAGTGATTCCACGAGCTGCAGTGTTAATTCAGAAAACCTTCTTCGAGGATGAAGGAGCGGAGCCGCTGTGAAGCTTGTGAAACTGTTGACGCTGCGGGAGCGCGCGTTTGACACCACTGTGGTGAAAACGCGTGTCGCTCCTGCCGAAAGCGACATACGTTACTGGGCTCTTACCGCGGTCTCACGTTTACGTTGACGTGAACGGCGGGCGCTGAGAGCTGCGTGCGCGCTTTCATAACTCAGCGCCTTATAGGTGAAGGCTGCTCGTGCCGCGGGAGCACGTGTTGGCACCGCCGGCAGTGAATGAAACAACCTTAAAAGGCTCATTCGTGATGCGTGTGTGTGATGGGGCCGCTGCCAGATCATCCGTGCTGACAGCCTGGCTAAAAGACACTTCATCATAAAATGATGTTTATTTCCACATCATGTCATCTACACACATCCAGCAAACCGGCACCTGGTTATCTTCCCCTGAGCTCTGTGGTTTGTTGTTTTAGAAGGCCCCCTGTTGGCTGAGTCCGGGAAACGTTGAACTTCCGGATGCCGGGGACGTCTGACGGGAGGGACTGGCGTAGCAGAGCTGGGGAGGCGTTGTGCAGCCGTGGAGCATCTTGAAATGATCTCTCACTGATGAAAAGGCCCTCCAACAAAAAGCTTCTGCAGCTCCCCTGAGAGGAAGGTGGAGTGACGAGCCAGGAGAACCTCTGGGACCTCTTTCTCCGGCTGCGATGCGGGCCGGCAGACAGCAAAAGAGGCGCACCGGTTGGGAATGACGTCGGCTGCCCTGCAGACGGAGCATACTGCAGGGGCCGACAG